CAGAGTTGTCACAGACTTCTCCCTCTCTCAGAGTCTGGAGTTAATCTGGGATCTGGGGAGGTGTTGAAGGGTGTGGGAGGGAAGTGTTAGGCATCTGGTTTTGCTACGCAGTTCATCGATGGCACAAGGTGGGAGCTATCACAAAAAAGCACGGCTGTGGCCTGCGACGAGAGATGTGGGTGTGCAATACCCACCTGAGTCAAGGTGTTACACCTGGGGAGGACGGAGCCTCCCGTCTCTGACTCCAAGGGGGAGGAATTTCTCCCGAGCAGATGGGAGGACATGGGTCACAGAGGTAACTCGGTCCCAGAGCAGTTGTGGGTTGGAACACGTATGCATTAACCCAGCAGATGAAGGAGTTGAGCAAAAGTGGACAAAGTAATGTAATTAAATCCGCAGGGAGAAATGAGAAACATCAAAAGGTTGTGGAAAAGTAAACACGGGCAGTGGAAACACTTCTTTGTGAATTTACATTTTTGGCTACGTCTCTCCCTCCAAGGAAGCAGAGGGACCAGGTTCTGACAATCGCTCCCAGTCCTGTGCATGGTCCAGAGCATCGGCACAGCCTGGAGCTGGCACCGGGCCTGGGTGATGGAGCTGCGGTGTGGCTTGGCCCCGCACGTAAGGGGTGGTCCTCCCTCCTCTCCTGCCTGAGCAAACTTGCCTGTCCCTTGAGAGAGGAGGAGGAGGAAGGGGAAGGTGAGAACATCCCTTCTTCAATGTAAATGCCAAAATGACTGTGGAGAAGCACAGGAGTAGCAAGGTAGGATCAGGGAGCCCTGCCAGCAAGCTGCTGTCTGTGCCAGAGGCTTAGTCTCAGACTTAGGAGATGCTCAGGGTGTGAGGCTCCCTTGGGTCTGTGAGAAATTGCAGGCGGCAGAGGGGGAAGGAAGAAGGAATATAACTTTTGGCTATTGTTATAGAGAAAAGTGAGTTATCGAGTATATCTGTGGAATATTTCCAAGGTGAGTAGTGTGTTTAACTGAATAAGACTTTAACATCTCGTGAGAGTTGGCGACTTGCAGTACGCAAAGAGCCACGGTCCTCTGAAACAGACACATCCCGCAGTAGCAGCCGTGTCGGCAGAGCTTCCCGCAGCCAGGGCAGTGCCATTCCCCGGGCAGCAGCAGACAACACGTTTCTCAGAACACGGTGACTGTGCTGTGATTCGACACTAATACAGCCTGGACTTGGGGTTATGTGTTGGTTGCCCAACCCAGAAACTGATAGCAGACATCCTACTGTCTAAAGGACAGTAAATGCTCTGGTTAAGACAAAGTTAAGTCACGTGAATTTGCTTTTGACATGGGCCCAAACCGCGTTCACAAGCAGTCCCCACAATCGGCTGAGTCATGGTAACGTCTGAAATTCCTGTGCCTCGGCTCCTCGTCTGAGCCTCGCGTCTCCGCAGCCAAGTACACGACAAGAAAAAGTTTCTATGTGCTATCATGAAAAAATGATTTGGAAAACAAAATAGCCCAGAGGAAGATAAATCAACTCTGAGTGGGAAAGATGCATGGTCATCTTGTGTTTGTAACATGACAAATGATATCTTCTTCAAGAGAAATTTGTGATTAAGAATGTCTCAGTAAGACTATATAATCTCGTATTAATGGTTTCTTAGGGAGAAGATCAAACACTGAAGGCTTTAAGTTTTTTTTAATCTAGTGAATGAAAGGCACAGGAAGAACCAAAGCCTGGACAAATTCCAAATAATTTTTAACAAGATGACGACCATGGAAAAGAAAAAAGGAAGGAGAACTGCTGGATTGTCTGTGTTTTGAAATCAATTGAAACTGTGTGTTTTTCTAGAAATTGTTCACTAATTTTGCTTTAGCGGAGTGCAAATTATTGGGATGGGTACAGGCTAATGGGATGAGCTCAGTGGCATAGGTTGTGTAGCATGGTTAGGTAATGGCCTTGCACACCTGTATGTAAGAAAATCCCCTTATCCCACAAAACTTGCAAACATGGCCGCCTCTTCACAGTGAATTACTGTTAGTGGATTTATTGCATGTGTACGGTTACCCGTGCATGCGGGACAGCGCTGTGGCTGACAGAGCAGGGAGACGTGCTGGTTTTAAGCAGAAGGCCTCCTCTTCCCCTGAGCAGCTCTGCAGAGACAGGGCATCTTAGGCCAGGGGAACAGCCCACATCTCCGGGGTGGGACGAGGTGCTGGGACCCCAGGCACACATGGCCCAGTGCCGTACCCAGGTGGCCGGAGCCCTGGGATGGTCACAGCGTGTCTCCTGCTTGTGCACGACTCTGGCAGCGCTTCCCCTCTGAAGGATGTGGTGGTTTATGCTCCTCGTTAGTGTGTGACTCATGCAATGGCTTGGCTGCTTGTGCCCGTGTATAAAATAACCTGCATATGGGCAGCATAAAAAGTGTTTTCCAGTAGAACAACAGGTAGAAGATTATGCAGCTTTCCTGTAAAACTGCACAAATGACAAAGCCCACTCTCGAAACCAGCTCTCTGAATTACCGAAACTGCCCTAGACTATTAAAAGTGAGAATATTTTGGAAAATCTTATTTCTTTGACTATTCCGTCGCGTTACTTCGTGTGCTTCACACACTTGAAAGACAATAAATCTTCTAACCTTACTTCTTGTTTCTCATAAGCAAGAACAGCAGGACAATGTGTGGGTTGCGTATCTTGAAAGGAAAAACTGGAGCGTGCTTGGTTTCCCAGGGTAGAGCTTTCTTTTTTAATTTACTAAACATGCTTCTCCTGAATAACACCCTTTTAAAAGGACCTGAACCATATTTTAGAGGCTTAAACTGGGGTTTCCCTTACGTCCATCATCTCTGAATTTTACCTGACGGAACATAAAAACCTGACACTGAAGTGAAAGGTGTGTATCCTTTCTGGATACGAATCTTTCCAGCTGCGGAGGGGACACAGGCACTTTGTACATGCAGGAGGAGCTCGGCAGCAGCGTGGGGGACTCCCGCTGCGCTCTGCGTGTCCAGGAGCGAGGGCAGCGAGCGACTCCGGGCACTGAACGTTTGAAGCGAGTGTTTCATGGGGCTCAGCCTGAGAGGTCTCACAAGGAAAGGTTTTCTGAGGCTGAATTTTGAAAATCTGTGTGCAGAGCCTTAAAATGCACAGGCCGAGGTGTGACGGGGGCGACAGTGCGACCCAGGGGATGCTGGCAGAGAAGGGCAGAGCAGCGCAGGGTGCTGCTAGGGCATGCCCCTCCTGCCCCAGCCAGCTCCCGAGAAAGCTCTGGAAGAGAAGCCAGTGTCCTGGGCCGGAGCCCGAGGCCTCCCCTAGCGTGGGAATAGCACGCACGAGAGGATGCAGGGGCTGATTTACGTCACAGCACTGCCTGTAAAACAACAAGTTCCAAAAGGGCATTCTATAGAAAGGAAAAAAATGCGAACCGAATAGCAGAAGAATGTTTGTCTTCCTGCTTTTAGCTTCACGTGGCTCTTTTTTTAGTCGCACGGCTAAGATGACTGAATTTGTAGTAGCTGAAAATGCCAGAGTCATTAAAGACAGCTTGAGAAAGTGCTGGGAGCCTGCACCATGCTCTGCAGCTCTTCTGAAACACACCGCTATGCTTGTTGTGGTAGACACTCAAGACCAAAATATGAGGCAATGGCAGCACTGTTGCCTGCTATAAAGAAAAAGAAAATTAGAGAAACGCATCATTTTACAAGAAGCCTGTCAGGCAACATACGCTATAAAAACACACTGTGATTGATAGATCTTAAAGGCAATGTCAGGTAAAACCAACCCAGCAGATTATTTGCAGCAAAAGATGAGCATCTGCTTTTCCCCAACCTTTTCGCTCTTCGTCGTCTAATTCTCACTTCTCCTGTTCAGCAAACTTGAAAGGTTAACCACTGACAGGAACAGACAGGTGAAACCTTTCTCCTGGCCTTGGAAGAAGTCAGAACTGAAAATGCTCTCGAGGGTTATTATAGTAGAGGTCTGATGCCACCTAAAGTTTCCAACAAGTCTTGCAGTAGAAGAAATCAGCGTTTCTCCCCAGCATTCTCAAGCAGTAACAGCCCTGAAGTTACTAGGTATTTCTAGTTCTTTGTGGCTACATTAAGCACGGCAGAAGTTTGCCCTGTGAGGAAATAAGCTCAGTCATGCCAGGCTGGGTAAAAATCCAAACTTCTGTCATCCTCAGCCTGTGAGAAGCAGATGTCGTAACTCAGTCCAAAATCAAAGCTCGGAAACAGAGAGCCTGTCTTTACTCCCCTGCTGCTAAAACTAGCTTGGTAATGGTGTTCCTTTATCTTCTACATTTGGAAACCGTGTGACTGTAAAAGGGAATCAGACTCAGCAGATGGAAGGACAATGTATGCAGGTCATTGTCCACAAATGGTGTCACGCCTTCATGTTTAGGGGATACCAACGTGTATTTTAGAGTACTCCTCTGAGCAGTGTTAATACCTTTATCACTAGAGCTGGTCAATAAGTCCATTAAAATGTATTATAATAAAAATGCGCTGTATTTTTATTATAATGCTGGGGGGGATTACATCTGATTAAGTAGTGTTTTTCTGTAGGGTTTTTTTTTCAGTTTTATTTTTCATTTTAATTTTTTCTTGTTTGTACATTAATGCTTCACATAAGAACGTCTGTATTATGTGTTTTTTACCACATGGTTGTAACAGCCAAGAACTGAAGTTGCTTTTGGATTTGAAGCATCATTCAAAGTGGCTGCTATTGGGCGCTGTTGGGAACATTAAACCCTGTCTTCTAGATCAAAGTGGCTCCTGACTGCTATAATGAAACAAATTGATTCTAGCTTTTTACCTTTAGTTTCAAGTCACCTACAGGCGAGCAGAGGAGGAGCTACCACACTGCACAGCACTGACATGGTAGGGACTGGAAGGGGACCTAGGCCGCCTGAAGTCAGAGGCGACAGAAAGGCAGCCCCCTGGGGGGGCATTTCAACACGCGAAGTTTGTCAGCAGGCGGTGGGTGTTCTAGACAAAGAAAAACCTCTGCTAACGTGGTTGTTCCTCTCCCTCCAGCACCCTCTCGAGCTGTTCGCACGCTGTGGTGGCCCTGCTGTACCCCTTCTCCTGGCAGCACACCTTCATTCCCGTTCTGCCCTCATCCATGATCGACATCGTGTGCTGCCCGACCCCCTTCCTGGTGGGACTGCTCTCCAGCTCTCTGCCCAAACTGAAGGAGCTGCCCGTAGAGGAGGTAGGAGCTGGCACCAGAATTGCTCACCTGCAGTAAAGCTGGCCTCACCCCAAAGGCACATAAATTCCTCACACCTTTAATTTTTAATCTGCCTCTTTGTGTCTTCTCATGGGCAACTGCCTCTTGGTAAAACTGCAGTAGTAGGTTGAGTCTTCTCTTTATTCTGCCCCTCTTCCCACACCTGGCACCCTGACAGAGAGAAGTGAATGTTAAACTGGTCGACAACTCAGTACGGTGTAAACATGCTGATTTCTTCCGATTTTGTTGTACCTGGAACAAGAAGAGGAAGACATGAAGTGCCATCTGCTATGACACCTATTAATGCTAACGGAAGTTGTGCATGAAGCCATGGCCAGCACAGAAAATAAAACATTTAAGGCTTTTTTTTTTTACTTCTAAGACTTTGTTAATGCTATATTGGAAATCAAATGAGAGTTGCACTTTATCAGCTCTTCCAGTAAAATACGACAAAAATACTCAAGGACACGCTCTTCTCTCTTACACCTATTAGTTTCCTGACATTTTTCTATGAAATTTTCTTTTCTTGTGCTCACTTCCAAGGCTCTCTATGCCTCTGACCCACGTAAATCTCTGCTCTGTTTTCCTCCCATTTTCCTAACATTGCTCTCCCACATCTTCCCAGCTCTCTCAGCTTTGCTGCTTCATTAACATTTCACACCCTTGCCCTTCAGAAGCCCTCGTGCCTCAGATGACACCGTTTTCTTTAAACCCCTCTGAAATACTTTTCATCTGCACGTTAACAAAAATGATTAGCAAGGACTTGCTGAGGTTTAAGAAAAAAGACATGCGTTTTAACCAAGTATGAGATCTGTCATATCTATCTATGTTAAATTAGACTTCAAGCTCTAAAGAAATACTTCATCTTCTTGTTTTATAAAGCATGCAACCTGTTGGTTCACAGTAGGAGTTTGATTCGTGTTGAGGTTTGGGACCTTTCAGATGATCTTTCACTATTAAAAGGCAGACACAAATAATATTTTCTATCTCTTCAGATATATTTCACTATAGTGTTTTCTTTTCTTTAGGCTTTGATGGTTAACCTGGGCTCTGATCGATTCATCAGACAGGTAAAGTACAGCTCAAAATGTTGCCATGCAGTCTAGCAAGCTGTTTGCTCCTACACTCTGATTAGGTTTCTTTGATCAGAGACAGTTTGCAGGAATCGTGCAGCAGGAAAGAGATTAGAAAAAAAAAAGTGCTCATTTTCTGTTTCACCTGCAAATAAGTACTACTCCTCAGGTATGCAAAACAGATTCAGGCTGTGACTGTCAGAAGAAATCAAAAACAGTAATCACCGTGCAAAGAAAACATCCAAAGATAACAACATCATGTTAGCAAGAAAACTCACACTGCTGGAGGTGAAAAGGACTAGAATTGAAAAGAAAAGTCTCTGAGTGAGAGACAAAAGCTTAAGAATAGTTTAACGTGGTGGGAAAAGCAGGAGCCTTGCAAACAGGAAGATGAAGGATCACCATTTCCCGATAGCAATGTAGCACTAAATAATTTCAAAAATAACAGTCTGCAGGTTAGATGAGTAAACTTTCTCATACGATTCCCTGAAAGATATGGCTGGTGAATAGCGGTTGCAGAGCTAGGATTCTTGTGTCTACTCGCTTTTGCTGAACAAGCATTAAATAAGATGAAGAGAACAACAGGGGGAAAACTCAGAAAACAAGAATATAAAGTAAAAACTACTGTCAAGAACCAAATAAGCCGGCTGAAACCAACTAGAGCAGCTGTGTGTACACGTAGCTAGGCTTTGCATGATGTGTATTTACTTAAAAACAACTACTTGGACTCCTTGTGATGTAAAGAGCTGATTCCAAGTTTCTACACGTTTGCCTTGCTCTTTGGATTATCATTCCTGACTTTAATCTCATTAAGGGTGACAAGAAATTTTGTTAGGAAATATATGATAATTGCACATAGATTTTCATTATTTTGTTTATGCAGGCATGACAGTAGCAGATACAAAATGCTTTTCTTCTGAATTTTAAACCTTGCAGAAGTGTTTGCTGTAGTTGCTGCACAGATTAAAGCAATCTAAAGAGTTTTTTTTCCTCTGTCAGATGGATGACGAAGACACACTATTACCTAGAAAATTGCAAGCTGCTCTGGAGCAGGCTCTGGAAAGAAAGAATGAACTGATAAATCAGGACTCAGATAGTGAATCAGATGATGGTAAGTTCATTTGGAAACAGGGACTTGTACAGACAAGCATGTAGGTAGTATTGTGACTTTCCATCCAGGAGAAAGAAAGATGGGACTTTAGTACTCAAATACCCCCAGTTACACATTGCTAGCGACCTATTTTAATTTCTTTCTTAATGACACACACTCCCATGAGTACCTCTAAACCTTTACTCAAGCAGAGGTTTGCAGTTACTTGGCCCTAATCCAAGCCAGACAACTAAACACCCTTAGGGGTGTGTCTGCGTTTGGAGCTGCTCTTGGCGCTTGGCATATTCAGGGGCGAGAAGCAGGTACCTCCGGAAAATAGTTTCCGTGCAAGAGGGGCTGAGCTGCCTTTAAAGGTTCGTATTTCTCTCCAGCAATTACAAGAACAGCACAGGGTGAATTTAAATGCCTGTGGCTAAAAGGTATGAAACAGGCCCCTATTCAGTTTTAAAATTTATTTTTACTTGTCTGTGTTACATACATAACACTATTTTAACATCTCAGAAATGATGAAAACCCAAACTCTACAACATACTCTTTTTGATCAGTTCTTGGTAAAGCCTTATTATCCCCAGAGCAAACATTTTGAGTCATTCAGAAGCTTCTCAAGAACACTTTACAAGAGTTAAAACATGAGGTGTAATTTTGATGAAGCGCCGACAAAATTTTTAATTTTCTGAGCTGTTTCCTGAGGATTTGTTTCTCATTTGACTCTTGGTTACGAAACACCAGTTATGTAGACTGGCACTCTTGATGACAGAGCTGTCACCCCATCTGACGCGTACCCGGGGCTGCCAGGAGCCGGTACGCTGCCGTTCAGTTACGAGAGCGGCATCGGTAAAATGCCTGGCCCCCCGTGGAACAAAATTTTTAATTTTCTGAGCTGTTTCCTGAGGATTTGTTTCTCATTTGACTCTTGGTTACGAAACACCAGTTATGTAGACTGGCACTCTTGATGACAGAGCTGTCACCCCATCTGACGCGTACCCGGGGCTGCCAGGAGCCGGTACGCTGCCGTTCAGTTACGAGCGCGGCATCGGTAAACTGCCTGGCCCCACGTGGACGACGACGCTGAGAGCTCTGGTAGCAGCAGCTGATTTTGGTGTCTTATTGCCGCCTTATTTTGCAGAATGTAACACCCTGAATGGATTAGTGTCTGAGGTTTTTATCCGATTCTTTGTGGAGACAGTTGGCCATTATTCCCTGTTCCTAACCCAGAATGAAAAAGGAGAGCGTGCCTTCCAAAGGGAGGCTTTCCGTAAATCTGTGGCCTCCAAGAGCATCCGCCGCTTCTTGGAAGTTTTCATGGAATCCCAAATGTTCGCTGGCTTCATCCAGGACAGAGAGCTGAGGAAGTGCCGTGCCAAAGGTGAGCGGGGCTGTCCCCTGCCGCGCTGCCTCCCGGTTGCCCCCTGCTCGCCGCAGAGCTGAGCCCGTCCCCTGCGGCC